TCAGATTTTGGAAGGCACTTCAGATTCTTAAACCTTGGGTCGATGCTGTAGCTATCTTTAGAAATCTCACATTGGTACCTTCTTTGCATTTTGTCAAATCTGTAGTGAAAGTGTTCTTAAAATGAACATGTGCTGGGTCATCATCCGAGACTGCTATAACATGAAATATATGGCAGGATGCGGGTAAAACAGAGCAGGAGACATACAATTCTCCCCCAAGGGGTTCAGTCACAAATTTAATTAACACACTATTTTTTTAATGAGCGTCATCTCCGTGGAAGCATGTCCTCTGGAATGGTGGCCGAAGCATGAAGGGGCATACGAATGTTTAGATATCTCGCACATAAATATCTTGCAATGCCGGCTACAAAAGTGCCAAGCAAATGCCTGTTCTCACTTTCTGGTAACACTGTAAATAAGAAGAGGGCAACAGTATCTCCTGCAAATGTGAACAAACTTGTTTGTCTGAGCAATTGGCTGAACAAGAAGTAGGACCGAGTGGATTTGTAGGCTCTAAAGTTTTATACTGTTTTGTTTTTGAGTGCAGTTATGTAACAAAAAAAAAATCTACATTTGTAAGTTGCACTTTCATGACAAAGAGATTGCACTACAGTACTTATATTAGGTGAATTGAAAAATACTATTTCTTTTGTTTATCATTTTTACAGTGCAAATATTTGTAATAAAAAAGAATATACACTTTGTATCCTGTGTTGTAATTGAAATCAATATATATGAAAATGTAGAAAAACATTCAAAATATTTATTAAATTTCAGTTGTATTCTACTGTTTAACAGTGCGATTAAAACTGCAATTAATCACGATTAATTTTTTTGAGTTAGTTAATCGCGTGAGTTAATTGTGATTAATCAACAGCCCTAGTTCAAAGCACATCTTCCAGTGACTTCAGTTGTAGCTGTGAGTGCTCAGCACGTCTGCATATCAGACCCCAGGGCCTCAAGTCAAGCACTCAGAAAATGAGGATCACACAATGAGGTAGGGTCCTTCAGACAACAGCCTCCTTCACTGAAGAGCCTGATTCATCCCCAGAGCAGGTCCAGTCTGTGCACTGAGTGAGGCGAGGGTCCTGTGGAAACAAGTAGTATGTGGTCATGTCATTAAAGATAGTGTCATAATGCACAGGGGGAATTAAGGTTGCCCTGGCAACCTAAATTCTGGCATATTCTAACTTTTGAGTGCACGACTCTGCAACCTTACTAATGTGTTTAACAAGTTTTTGAGTGTCATATCTCAGGTTTTTCTAAAAAACAAACTAAAAATCCCAGAAATTCCATCATGTGGCATCACATTGAAATGTGCATGGTCGGAACCTTTAGATCTACTGTACAGATCCATGCCACTTGAGCTAAAGTAGTAAGTGACAGCAGTAGTAGGTTGTCATCCTCTGTGTGGACCAGCACTCGCTGGGGATGGAACACTTTGCCAGTGAGGTTCGCAGATATTTGCTGACAGCAGAGGAATGGTGAGACTCGGGAATCTTCCATTCCAGGCTATGGAAAGGTGTGTTATTTAGTGGGCATGGACTTTTCTGCCCATTCCCCACAAGCTTGGCCCCTTCTGCCTGGTCCCAGTCCTAGAGTCACTCTTCTGGACTCCCCATCTCAATCTCAGTCTCCCCTTGCCCTCCACTCTTACTTCCGCACTCCTTGCCCAACCAGCCCCAGTTCCACCCTTCCCCCACTCACTTTCTCACTCTGCCCCCCTACGACATTCCTCATCCCAAAGGCTCCCCCAGTCTCCCTTCCTGGGCTCCTCATCCAATCTCAGTGCTTCCCCCCCTTCTAGCTCCTTGTCCTAATCGCCTCCTTCCCCTCACCTCCTTCCCTTGTCCTACTGGTTCCCAGACCCACTCTCCATGCTCAGCTAGGTCTAATCTCCTCCCCAGCTTCTTGTCTGATCTCAGTCTCCCCACACCCACTGGCTCCCAGTTCCCCCTCCTTGGCTCCCAGTCCCAGTCTCTCCCTTGCTCCCATTCCTGGTCTTCTTACCCAGCCATTCCCAGTCCTCCTGCCCTCTTGTCCCCACTCTCTTTGCCCAACCAGTCCCAGTTCCACCCCCCTGATTTGTCTCTGTCCCCATCCTAGCGCCCAGTTGTCCTCCTGTGACGGTATGCTACTCACCACTGCAGCGCTGCCTACTGGCTGTCCTGGGGATTAGCTCCTCTAGCCAGTGTGCCTTCTTCTGGTGATGTCTCGCTGCCGCCGCCACTTCTGCTCCTGGACCCGTGTCGTTCCAAGGACCACAACGTCCTCTTCAGGACACAGCCCGTCAGCTGTCCAGCTGTCCCCTAGTGGCAACTGCAGCCCAATGTCTGGCCACTTCCTCAGTGGCACCCCATTACTCCAGACCCTGGCCCAGGGACCCTGTAGATGGCCATCACTTGCTGTGTCCCCTCCGACTCCTCACTAGATTTCCCTGGGCCACTTCCCCATGGCCCCAGCACCCTCTTTGCCCTTGCCTCAGGGCCTCAGCCTGCAGATCCCTCCAGCCCACCAGGAGCTGCCTTTAGCTCCCCGGGTCTCTGCCTGCAGCACCGGTCGGTCCAGGATGCTTGTTGCCCTCTGCCTGCAAGGCAGCCCAACCACCTCCCTCCTCAAGCTCCAGGGAATGACTGAAGCTGTTCTCTGCTCTGCAGCCTTTCTTATATGGGCCAGCACGGCCCTGATAGGCTGCTCCTCAGAGCCCCTCTCCAATTGGCTGCCTCCTGCGCAACCTCCCTAGGTCTCTATTAACCCCTTATGGGCCAGTGTGGGGCAGATGCCCCATCACACACCCCTGGCTCCCAGTTCCAGCCTTTCTCTCTGGACTCATCCAGTCTCAGTGCCCCCCTCAGCAGTTTGTCCCAGTCTCTTTGCCCTGCCAGTCCCAATTCTCCTCCCACATCCCAGCTCCTCCTCAGACCTGTCTCCCTTCTCCCTCTCCCTCCTTCCCACTGGTTCCTAGTCCCAGTCTCCCCCCAGCTCCTCATCTTATCTCAGTCTCCCTGTTCACCTACCGGCTCCCAGCCATCACCCACCATTTCCCTCCCTGGTTCCCAGTCCTAGTCTTCTGTTCCCAGCTTGTCTCTGTCTCCCATTTGGCTCCCAGTCGCGTCCTTACCCAGGCCCAGTCTCCCAACTCAACTCCCAGTATCAGGTTCTCCCTCCCTCCCCCTGCCGCCTTTGGAGCGCCACAGGCGGAAGCTCTGGAGAAGTTGGGGGGGCCACCGACACCTGGCCCCTGGCCCCGCCCATGCTCCGCCCCCGCTCTGCCCTGAGGCCCCGCTCCTGCTCCGCTTCTTCCCCCGGGTCTCTGCCCACGTTGCACCTCGTCTGGCCCCCACTCTGCCTCTTCCCCCGAGGCCCCCCTGCCTGCCGCTCGCTCCTCTCCACCTCAGGGGAGGGGACGGAGAGGCATGAGTGGTGGGCGAGAGGGCCTGGGTGGGGGGGAGAGGCACGAGTGGTGGGCGAGGGGGCCTGGGGGAGGGAGGGAGAGGAGCAAGCAGCAAGCAACGGGGTCTCGGGGGAGGGGACGGAGAGGCACGAGTGGTGGGCGAGAGGGCCTGGGCGGGGGGGAGAGGCACGAGTGGTGGGCGAGGGGGCCTGGGGGAGGGAGGGAGAGGAGCAAGCAGCGAGCAACGGGGTCTCAGGGGAGGGGACGGAGAGGCACGAGTGGCAGGCGAGAGGAGCTGGGGGGGGGAGAGGCACAAGTGGCGGTTGAGGGGGCCTGGGGGAGGTGGGGAGAGGAGCAAGCAGCGGCCAAGGGGGTCTCGGGGGAGGGGGCGGAGAGGCACAAGCGGCCATTTGGGAATAGCATTGACTCAGCAATTCATGCAGCCAAACTGGTGCTGACCACTCAGGCTGGACAAAGGCAAACTATAGAGACAAGGTGGGCGAAGTAATATTTTTTATTGGACCAACTTTTGTTCTAGAACACTGGATTTATGGCTTGTTACAGCCCACTGACCCCTCTTGTCCTATGACTGCAGAGGTGTTAATGGGCCACTCTACCCTGAATGGTCCCTTACAATATGTGCTAACTACTTACCCTAAACCATCTGTTCCACCCTGCATTTTGCTGTGAGGCTGGGAATTCCTTTCCCAGACCTGACAAAGAGCTCTGTGGCTAGAAAGCTTGTGTCTCTCTCATCAGCTGAAGTTGGTCCAATAAAAGATCTTACCTCACCCACCTTGTCTCTGTAATATCCTGCCACCAACAGGGCTACAACTACACTGCATAAAGGCAAACTGTGTAAATTAATGACAGGTTTCAGAGTAGCAGCCCTGTTAGTCTGTATCCGCCAAAAGAACAGGAGTACTTGTGGCACCTTAGAGACTAACAAATTTATTTGAGCATAACCTTTCGTGGGCTACAGCCCACTTCATCGGATGCATGTAGTGGAAAATACAGTAGGAAGATATATATATATACACAGAGAACATGAAACAATGGGTGTTACCATACACACTATATACCTACTGTATTTTCCACTACATGCATCTGATGAAGTGGGCTGTAGCCCACGAAAGCTTATGCTCAGATAAATTTGTTAATCTCTAAGGTGCCACAAGTACTCCTGTTCTTTTTGTGTTAATTAAGGAATCAGCACTGGTGCCACTACCTTGATTGCCGGGCACTAATGGCTAAGTTAGTGGACAAGACTTAGAATCTAGTTAGCTCTTGCTTTGACCGTGTGGGTTGATTCTCCAGTGCCTTGCACCCTGGTTGATGATTAATACTACTGCTGAGTGGATGTGAAATGCTACCAGATTACAAAGGAACATGATATAATTGTTTGTTCCTAGCACAATGGCATTCTGGTCCATGATTGGGGCTCCTGGGAGCTGCGGGAATTAAATAATAATAATACATAAATAATAATAATAATAATAATACACGCATCTTGCACAGGTGAAAATGATGATGCAAGGTGCAAGACCGTGGAGAATAAGGCTTGGTGTCTATTTCCCTATTCACTCACACTCCTATTTACTTCTAGGCCTCCTTTCAGGATACTTCATTACGAAGCAGCAGGAATTGACCCACAGGTAAAGCTGAACTTAGATTCTCCCTGTAAATCTGACTTTTTAAAATACTCCCCTCCACCCCTCAGCTTTCTCAAAAATAAACCGAGCCCCCCCCCAAATTCCACCTGCCACATCTCCACACCCAGTGGGGGTTGGACTAGATGACCTCCTGAGGTCCCTTCCAACCCTGATATTCTATGATTCTATGATTCATCCCTGGGATGGGAATTTTTGGGAAGTTTGGTGAAATTCAGAGAGAGATTTGGAAGTTACGGTGTTTCAAAAGTGTCTCTGTCATTGGAAAATGCCCTAATTGTTTCTTTTTTGGGGTGGGGGGGACGCATCCTGTCTCTAGAAGGGTTTGGTGTCCAGCCTTCATGTTTGTTTTATTGGCTTTGCTGGGGGAGAGGTGCCTTTGAGTTGATTTTGGAGGGGGAGGGGGGAAGGAAGGGGGTATTTGGGAAATTCCCAAGTTATAAAGAGCTGGTTTGATGTGCACAGAGAGCACTATTTACAGTAGAAATAATGTAAACATTTATAATTTAAACTGACCTTCTGCTGACTCCCGCCTTTGCTGCAGTTGCTGCTGGAGTGAGCCAGTGATGGGGGGCATGGAGAGGGGGAAGGTAAGCAGGGGCGGATCCAGGGGGCAGGAGTCCAGAAGGAGGGCATGGAGGGAGTGGGAGGTGATTGGAAGGGCGGTGGACTGGGGGTGAGGGGCACACCGAGCATTAGCATGGAGTTGCGCTGTCTGATCTTGGATCTGCAGCAGGGGAACATGGAGGGGGACCCAGGACACTGGTGGGCCATGGAGGGCGATGCAGGAGACCCTGTGGGCATAGGGTTGCCAGGTGCCCAGTTTTCGACGGGAAAGTCCAGTTGAAAAGGGGACCTGAAATTGTCCAGTCAGATGTACTGACCGGACCCCAAAAGCTCGGTTAGCTGGGTCACTAACCCACCCCAGCCCCTGCTCAGCCGGGGCTGCCTTCTCCCTGCAAGTTGCCTCCTTGTCAGACTGCAGCAGCTCCCGTCCCGGCCTCGGAGCAGAGGAGCCCAGTTGAGGGGGTGGGTGGGAGAGAGAGGTGGAGACGATCCAGGGAGCGACCGGGATGGGGGGAGAGGCATGTGTGTTGGGGGCAGGGCCTTGGGGGAAGAGACTGAGCGGGGGCGGGGTCTCAGGGTCCAGTTACTAACAAATTGAAAGGGGGCAGGGTGTGTGAAATGTGGGAAAGGGAGAGTGGGCCTGGGGGACATGCAAGGGGATGAAGGGGTCTGGGGAGGCATAGAGAGCATGTGTGTGGGAGCAATGTGGGTGGGATCTAGCAGTTGGCTGGAGGAGGGATAGAGAGGAGGGAAGAATAATGGGGGAGATGGAGGGATTCTTGGAAGAAGGCCGAGGGCCTTAAGGAGATGCCAGCTACTGGGGAGCATGAGGAGAGGCAGAGAACAGGTGACAGGGAGATCTTGCCAAGCCACAGGAAGGCCTAGAAAGGCTGGTCATTGCTGAGGGTGCGTAGGGACCCAGGGTCGGGTGTGCAGGACCACAGTAGACGTGGCCAAGCAGTGCGTGGGACGATGGGACTGGACATAACAGGGAAAGAGCATTGGGGGGTTGAGAGGATGGGGTCTTGTAAACATCTTAAAAACTTCAAACACTTAAAATCTTCTAGGTATAAAACTTTAAGCATGTAATGTCTCCCCTGGGTGGCTCCCGTAGTGCCCTGGCTGGTGGAGCCCCTGATCTGTCACACTCTGCTTCCTCCACACCACGGAGAGAAGGACGCTGCTCTCTTTTCCTCATGACCAAACAATGATGCTGCCTTGCAAATGCTCTTCCTGATCAACAAGCCGTCCCTGATGCAGGGGAACAAACAAGACAGCAGAGCAAAGTCAATTCCAGTTACTTTACCAACAGGGCGGAGATCATCAGAGCCTCTCAAATGAGAATGAAATTCCTCTGCTCTGTCTAAGGGGTTTCCAGAGCCGCTGTCTCTGTACTTTATTAGGGCCTGATTCAAAGCCCATGGAGGCCAGTAGAAATCCTTCTGTTGATTGCAGGGGGTTTTGGGTCAGACTCTGTGTTCTTCATAGCTGCTTCTCTAGGCGCCACAGTGACAGAAATAATAATAAAGAATTTTACTAATTTGAAAAAAATGTTGGAACACGTTTAAAACTGCAGCCTGTGTTTTTCAGGCAGTATTAAAAACAATGTCTGTTTTTAGGAGACAAGTTTAAGTAGTTGGTGGAGAGTGCATTCTTTTTTACTCCTGTGGGAATTCTGCGCCACTGCGCAATGCAGAATTTGCGCAGAAATTAATGTTGTGCATGCAGAATTTCCTTTACCCCCCATACAGAAATGGGCTGCAGAGCTGCCACTAGGAGCCGCTGGACCCAGCAGAGTCCAGCTCACAAATAGAAGACACTGCCGGGGAGAGAGGGAGGGAGCTGGAGGGTTCCCGGCAGCAGCAGTTCCCCGCAGGCCCTGAAGGAAGGAAGGGATGTGCAGGAAACTCCCTACAAGCCTGGGACCCAGCATCAGTCTGTTTCTCCCTCTGGATCCTTGGGCTCTGGGGAGGAGTGGGCAGAGAAACAGGAACTGGGTTGTCATAGGGCTTTTTTTAACTCTCTACTCCTGGGGGAATTTTTTGGTCTGTACTGTTACAGACATACGTGCTGACAGGTATTTTGAAATAAATTACCGAAATAATTGAAACTGGCATGATTATATAGTGTTATTTTGACAAATAAAATATGCAGAATTTTAAAATATTGTGCACAGAATTTTAAATTTTTTGGTGCAGAATTTCCCCAGGAGTACTTTTTATGCCCCTGGATGTTAAGCATCACTCAACAAGGAGCGGACAGACAAAATGGCATGTGGTGATAATGTTGCTTACTATTCATCTTGGCAGAATTAGATTTTTATCATTTTGATGGATAATATCGACATATTTTTAAGCATTTTTTTTCTCTTTGTATCAATTTACATTTTCACAGTTGTATGAAATGCTGGGGAGGGGTCAGACAATTAATTAGACATTGTGATTCAAAGAGTTAAGGCTTTATAAACCGTTGACATAAATTGTCAATATCACGTATCAAACTATACAAAGGAAATATCCTTCATTTAACAAATCATACCTGTTTTTACTGTTCATTTGCTAGTCTCTTTGTAACAAGCTAATTTGAAAGTCTAAATCACTGAATTTTGACTCTAAGTTCTCAAACAGCATTTTCCTTATTTCTCCTGCCTGTACATTTAGATTATTATAGAAGGAAATATATTTTCATTGGTTAGTATGTGTACAGTGCAATCAGTGTTTACTGACGTTTACCAATAAATATCTAATCCTTCCAAACCTACTTACTATAAAGTGGAATTTGTGTGTACTTGTATTTTAAAGTGTCCTGTTTTCCATGCAGAGAGCAGGAAAGGCAGAGTATTGAACACAGAGGGAGATCCTGAAGATTAGGTCTCTGTCTCTTTGCTAACTATCAGGGGATAGCCGTGTTAGTCTGTATCCACAAAAACTATGTCTATCCACAATTAACTATGTCTGCTGTTGGAGGGTGGCCGGATTTTGTGTTTGTTTTTGAGCACTACTGCTATAACAGCCTCAGTTAGTTAGGGTTGCCAGCCTTCCAGATTGTTCTGGAGTCTCCAGGATTCAAAGATTAATCTTTAATTAAAGATTATGTCATGCAATGAAACCTCCAGGAATGCGTCCAACCAAAATTGGCAACCCTAATAGCTGGGAGCACAAGATGTCACAATATGCGGTTTCATGGTCTGTCTTAAACAGGAGGTGTTGAGTAAAGAAATCATCTGCAGCTATAGTGCAAAACAAAGGTGCTTCTATGCAGCTTGAATCCCAGCTTTGTCTCCCTTGTTCGCCAGGGACCACACCTTGTTTGGAACACTATACAGAAAACAGTGACATCTAGTGGCTGAGTCATCTATTGCAAACCAACATTACACAGAAGAATCAAATACGGGTGACATTTTCTAATCCTGCAATACTCTTGCAAAGGCACCTTGTTATTTGTGTTGGTTCTGGATAGAAGAACAGCACTCGTTTGCTTTGGGAGGTTTGATGAACTGGATGCATGATTTTTGCTGTGTCAAGGTCACCCGAAGGCCAAGGGTCTGTGGAAGGCTCCCCAACAGAGCCAAGTTGCAGTGTTGCTAGCGTGTGGGGGTTGGGCAGCCCTGGAGAGAGCACCCATTGAGATTCAGGGGGCTCTGTGCCAGCTCCTCACCAAGCAGCGTGGAGGGGAGGAGAGGGAGAGCCAACACAGATCCTGCTGCAGCTCTGGCCCCTGCGCCGGTCCAGGGATGGCAGTTGCAACTGCAGGGCTGCCCTACATCCTGCGCAAAAAAGTTGGAGGCTAGCTCCAACTCCCAAAGTTTCATAGAGGTCCCCACTCCAGCTTTGCCGCAAGGAGAAGGGGGTGTGAATTTCACCTTCTGTGCATGGATGAGGGGGAAATGCAGTAAACATCTCATGTGTCTGCTCTTTTCTTAACCAATTTGTGCACAGTAAAAAGGCTTGGTTGGCCCTTGCGTTACCCTGATTTCACTCTAGTGGAACTGGTGTAAAACTGGAGTAAAGAAGTGGCCAATCAGGCCTTTTGGGAAGCTCTTTGTTCATGCAAGTCATGATCAGTAGAGTGTGTGAAGCTACTTTGATCCTAATCAGTTACTTGAGGTGGGGGTGGGGGTGGGGAGAGTTGTGCATTGAAAGATCTGCATTGAAAGATCTGTGTGTAGGTGGGCACTGTATTCATTTCTGGATACTTGACTTTCTCTAACCATCTCAAAAAAACAAAGCAAAACAAAAACAAACAAACAAATCCCCAGCCCCAAACCACAGCCACAGAGGGTTGCAAATATAATTAATAAGAAACAGGAATGGCCTGCAATTGTAATCCACATTAGCTTTGCTGTAACTGAATTCATCTGCTATTTTTATAGTTAGATAAACTCGCATTTTAATCACTGGTGTTTATTGGCCTTGTCACATTTGTAAATTACAGTCACAGATCTGGAAATCGATGTAAACAGCAGACAATTTTTTTTTTTTTCAGATGTGGCTTCTGCAGTGACTTTAACTGATGAAATCATGCTCCCCCAAATGAATGGATGGGTTTCTTGCTTCTCTTTCCTCCTGTTATGTACTTACTACATGGCTGCGGCAAGAAATGCAAATACACTGCTAGAGCTGAGCCCCCAGGAGTATTTCAGTAGCTTGCAGCCGGGAAGAGCGTCCCTGGTTTATTTTAGTCGAGATGGTATGTATTTTAAATGTATGCGTTTTCATTATCCTGGCTTCGCAGGAGAAATAAGCAACTTGAGGGGAAAGTCTCACGTGCTTGTGAGAGCGAATAATATTGTGGCTGTGGAAAAGGCTCTTTGGTAATGGTGAAAATCAGATGGTCACAGTTCTTGGAACACTTGAAACCCTAAATAGTTTGAAAGAACATCTCTTAGAGCAGGAATTTGCCAACCCCTTGGCATATTCCCGATGATCATAGAAATGTGAGGAGGTGAGCGCTTTCCTATTGTCGTTCCTGTTGGAGGCACCCATCCCGCAGGTTGAGCAGCCTGGGCAGATCTCTGTGTCTTTGTCAGACCCCCGTTGCCTTCATCGGAGCTCTGTGTGCGCGTAAGGAACTCCTTCTGTGGACTAGCTTGCCAAAAGGGGGTTGTATTTCTCTCCAAAAGTGCCTCCTTGGGGAAACAGGAAGTAACATTGCCCCTCTCTGTAAAATGGGAAACTGAGGCAAATAAGGCCAGCTTGTCATACCCGTGTCTGTGTTGACTAGTAGCCCTGCTGAAATCAGTGGGGAGACTTGTGGAGCAAGCTACTACTCAGTGCGAGTCAGGGTAACTCAGTCTGCTCCAGAGAGATTAGGTGACATTAGGTTTTGTTCTAGCTATTCTACCTGATACTCAAGAGGACCAGAGATCTAGAGAAACCAGCTCTTATTGGTGTTTCAGTTTCTCCAGGTGTCCGTCTGTTTCTGGAACAGCTAGAGAACTCGGTCGGAGCTCTTCAGGATTATGGGATTTCAGTGGTGAAGGTAAATGAACATGTCATTTGTTTTCCTAGCTGAGAAATGTAGACTCCTCAATAACGCGGCTGTTCTCTGGTGGGGCTGTAATTCTGATCACATGGGCACGCGGGAGAGTTCTCCGTACAGGTGGTTATGTTGTCACTGTCAGCGGAACAGAGGTATTAATGTGCTCACAGCAATCATCTCTAAACCGCAGCACTAGCAATGCTAAGCAGCTAGTCGAGAAGGTGCTGTTGTCATCTGTCCGACCCTGCTCTCTGGGGGCTCTCTGCTCTCAGAGTTGGCTCTCTGCTGGCAAACCCCCAGCTTGCATGGAACTCCATTAAGCTCCGTTGGGTTCCGTGTGAGTGCAGGGGTCTCCCTGCATGGATCGTGGCCAGGGACTCCCATGATGCATCCCCTCCCATCTTTAGTAGGGGAGGTCATGGTGCATCATGGGCGATGTAGTCCGAGCCCTGCCTACAGAGGACAATGGGAGGCACTATGGCGGCATTTCTAAATAGTAATATTTTCAATATTCAGATTTTGGCTGAAAAAAATCTACATTTACTGTGGGGGAAAAAAACACCATTTTGCAACCAACTGAACCTTTAATCCTTATCCTGAGGCAGGTTCAGCTTTCTAAAAGATGACCTTTTGGCTGAAATTTCACATGCTTGCTTTCAGTCCAGATATTTTGAGGAGAAGGATAAAGAAATTTTCCTCGGCCTTTTCTGTTAAGACATAAATGTTATCCTACGCAAATTAGCACATTGCTATCAAACAGAGTTTGGGCTTACTATAGGAGTAACTGGGTGAAACTGAATGAAGGTAGCTAAATTATGTTTGTTTGAGAACCATGACTTGGAATTTCCTGACTTTTGTGCTTGTAAAATCTTAATTGTAACACTGGATCCCATTCACATTATCACTTCATTGCATTTTTGCCTATACAGTAGTTTTAAAAATTCTCTTTCATACAGTTGGACCATAAAATGCTTCCAACTTTATATATTTGTAGGTATCTGTCTGTGCGTCAAGATTTATAACGACTTGTTTTAAATACCCAGGTTAATTGTCTCAAAGAAGATGTATCAAGATATTGTGGGAAAGAAAATGCCTTAATGAAAGCATACCTGTTCAGGTGAATGGAGTTTTATTGCATGCAGTGACTAAATAAAATACTGTGGATTGTTTTTGAAAGGTTCTCTGTTGCAAGGTTTTAAGGAAACCATGTCAGCAAGCTGACATGTCCGGTGCTAGAAGGATGTAGCACTGAAGGAGATACTTTCCACAATGATCCTTTGAAACTAGTGCAAAGACCTCCATTTTAGATCAGGCCCATCAGTAGCAGACAAGCTGTCTGCCAGTCCTAGAAGCCTCTCAGATTATCCAGGAAGTACAGGGAGGAACCTTTATCTTTCAATGATGAATCTGTATGGAAAATACAATTTAAAATCGTGGCTTTAGGTGAATAGCTGGAATGGATACCACAAGTCACTCTTATAGAGTCCTAGAAATGTAAGGCTGGAAGGGACCTCAAGAGGTCATCTGGTCCACCCCCCTCTGCCCCCATGCCCAGGTAGGTTTAGGTATCCCTAGATAGATCACTGCCCTGTAATAGTACTGGATGGGAATGGAAGGAATGGGTTAGACCTTACAAGAGGTGCCTGGGTGAATTTAGTGTGATTTTCTTGACTTTGTTAGAGATAAGTTGCTTGGTGTTATTCTGGAGGAAGCAAATATTTATACAAGGCAACTGCGGTCATTTTATACCAAGAACTGGCATGTAAGTGAACACTTTTTTGTTTCTTTTTAACAAACCAGGAGGCTGAAGTTACAAGGAACAGAGATGAGAGTCTGCTAGACTGCAGTATTTCATTACGGGGGAAAAAAATGGACTGCATCTCCCATGGTTATATGACTGCATGCACCATGGTTATATGGCTCCCTTGATGCACTGTAGAGGTTCAGCCAGAGGTCAGACCATGATGCATCATGGGAAATGTAGTCCAGCCAGGGAGCCTGGCCCATGGAGGAGAATGGGGGCTGAGGCACCCAAATTACAACTCCCATGAGGCACTGCATGGCTCAGGAGCTATTGGCCTGATCAAAAACGAAATATTTCATTTAGATTTTCCTGGTGAAAAACTGAAAATATTTGGCAAAAATATTTTGTGAAAATTGGATTTTCAGTTGAAAAACACTGATGAAAAATTCCCAGTCAGCTCTACCTTATGTGGCCCAGCCACCACTAGAGGGGGACAGAGCACCACTCAGTGTAAGCATGGGTTACATTTGCTCACCACTGATCAGTCTCCCTACCTGACAAAGGATCTGATCCAAAGTGCACTAAAGTTAATGCAAAGTGGGCTAATACCGGATTCATTCTGGATCTCTTGCAGGCTTGTTAGATTGAAGACACCACCAAAAGCACCTAAGTGAGTTAGGTGCCCAACTCCCATAGACATTCATATCCCTTGCACAAACGCTTTCCTTTTAACTGACCTGTCCCATTTAAGAGGAGTCTCTTGTCTCCTCTCAGATGAGCATTTTGGGCGATGTCTGTCTAAAAGATAAATGCACTAGTTCAACCAAAGGCATTGAGCTCAGTGCAGGAATTCTACAGCCTGTTATGCTGGAGGTCAGACTGCATGATCAGAATGATCCCGTCTGGGTTTAGAATCTGCAAAAAGAATCAGGAACTAGGAAGTACATGGATAAATAACCTCTATGTTGATTTATGACTTGGTTGGTTGTTCTCTTTCCCAGAGGTAACGTATTGCTCAGAGAATTCCCCACAGATGCCCTGTTCGACGTGAATGCCATTGTAGCCAATACCCTGTTGTAAGTAGAGCGAACATTCATCTGTGTGAAATCATTTGCTTTGTTTTTTCGCTTGTTGCCTGACGCTTTGCATAAACATGAACTCGGTACATCCTGGGGGACTATTTCGGGGCAAATCGGAGCAGTTGCATCTGCTGCTTCATGAGGCAGGTAGCCCGAGGTGCACCTGCTCTGGTCTGTGCCTGCAGTTGTGGGTGAAAATTTTCTGGTTTCTTTTGAAGAATGCTGTAAATGAGATTTTTATGTCTTCTCAGTGCCCTTCTCTTTAACGAAGTTAAATATATTACAACGCTGGTGGAGCTTCAGAATCTAGAAAATTCTCTGAAGGGACGATCAAATGTCGTCTTTGCCTATGTGCCAGCGATTGGAACGCCAGGTACTAAAATCAACCTTCCATCTTAATATCCCTTCAAGAGCTTTTTCTGTTTTTTTGATAAGATAGTGCAGAACTGAGTTTCTGACCCAGATCTCCAAACATCTTGGTTTCTTTTTAAAAGAAAGATCCATTTCACCATGCAGAGTATACTGAAATGCATGCCAATTAGTGAGGCATATATTTTTTTTTATGCTGATTCCGAAAATCTGGGCCGTACTATTTAGCGTGGGTGAGGGAGTGGGCTAAGAATGTATTAACTGGAACCCGTTTTTTTTTTTTTTAGAGCACAGAGCAGTAATGGAAGCTGCTTTTGTATATGGTACTGCCCACCAGTTTGTTTTAACCACAGAAGCGGCGCTGGCGAAGGACATTGGGTGGGTATAACGGTCGGAGAAAGGGACTCATCTGAACTGCTTATGCTGTTGGTTTGGTTTGGTCACAGTCCCAGGTGGGAAGAAGTGCAGACCCAGGTTCTGAGTGCTCCATAAATAGCCCCGTTGAAATGAACGAGACTACTTGCGGAGGAGAGAACTCTTTGCTGTAAATGTGGCAGAATCTGTTTGTTTGTGGTTGGAGCAGCAGACGCGGGTGAACCAGGTTAGTTTCAGTAGAACTAGCACAAGCCTTTGCCCTAATGTTGAACTGAAAATGCAGCTGTGCTCCAAAGACTGTAAAAACCATCTGGGATGGCACACTGGCAGCTTCTCACTGATCTCCCTAGCAAATGCAGTCACTTTACCAGTGAAGAGCTGGTTTTTCTGACTGCCAGGCCTGCAGCTATCCCGGGGTCTGAGGGCCAAGCTTTGTTCTTCAGGACTTGTGTCTTTTCCTCCTCAACTGGCTGTGGTGCCCATCTCTCATCCTGGATGTTTTAACCCTCCACATTTACAACGTTAAGCAACCCCTGAAAGTCAGACCAGGGAGAGCTGGTGGCTCGGTCAGTCACACACAGAACCAGAGGTCAGGATTCTGGGGCTGAGCAGGGAGGGACAGAGCACTAAAGTGAGGAAGCATTTGACACGGTCTCGCATGATATAGTAAGGCATTTGACACGGTCTCGCATGATATTCTTATCGACAAACTAGGCAAATACAATTTAGATGGGGCTACTATAAGGTGGGTGCATAACTGGCTGGATAACCGTACTCAGAGAGTTGTTATTAATGGTTCCCAATCCTGCTGGAAAGGCATAACGAGTGGGGTTCCGCAGGGGTCTGTTTTGGGACCGGCTCTGTTCAATATCTTCATTAATGACTTAGATATTGGTATAGAAAGTACGATTATTAAGTTTGCGGATGATACCAAACTGGGAGGGATTGCAACTGCTTTGGAAGACAGGGTCATAATTCAAAATGATCTGGACAAATTGGAGAAATGGTCTGAGTTAAACAGGATGAAGTTTAACAAAGACAAATGCAAAGTGCTCCACTTAGGAAGAAAAAATCAGTTTCACACATACAAAATGGGAAGAGACTGTCTAGGAAGGAGTACGGCAGAAAGGGATCTAGGGGTTATAGTGGACCACAAGCTAAATATGAGTCAACAGTGTGATGCTGTTGCAAAAAAAGCAAACGTGATTCTGGGATGTATTAACAGGTGTGTTGTGAGCAAGACACGAGAAGTCATTCTTCCGCTGTACTCTGCTCTGGTTAGGCCTCAGCTGGAGTATTGTGTCCAGTTCTGGGCACCGCATTTCAAGAAAGATATGGAGAAATTGGAAAGGGTCCAGAGAAGAGCAACAAGAATGATTAAAGGTCTTGAGAACATGACCTATGAAGGAAGGCTGAAAGAATTGGGTTTGTTTAGTTTGGAAAAGAGAAGACTGAGAGGGGACATGATAGCAGTTTTCAGGTATCTAAAAGGGTGTCATAAGGAGGAGGGAGAAAACTTGTTCACCTTAGCCTCTGAGGATAGAACAAGAAGCAATGGGCTTAAACTGCAGCAAGGGAGGTCTAGGTTGGACATTAGGAAAAAGTTCCTAACTGTCAGGGTGGTTCAACACTGGAATAAATTGCCTAGGGAGGTTGTGGAATCTCCATCTCTGGAGATACTTAAGAGTAGGTTAGATAAATGTCTATCAGGGATGGTCTAGACAGTATTTGGTCCTGCCATGCGGGCAGGGGACTGGACTCGATGACCTCTCGAGGTCCCTTCCAGTCCTAGAATCTATGAATCTATGAATCTATGAAAAGCTGATGTTTCTGGGTGGAAGATCAGACCACTCTGTGCACCTGATTCTGTGAGGCATTGAGCCACCTCGGCTTCTGTTGATGTCAGCGGGATCAGAACCTATTTTCCCAACACTCGATAGACTGGCACAATTTCTGTCTACGTGCCGACGTGGCTCCTATTACTGGAGAGTCACATACATCAATGAATTCAGTCTCACCATGAGGTGGGGGAAGTATCGTCCCCGCTTCACAGACAGGGAAGGAAGGCACGGAGAGATGATGTGACTGGCCTAGGGTTACACAGGCAGGCTGTGGCAGAGCTGGGACTTGCACCCAGCTCTCCTGAGTTCCAGGCCAGAGCCTTAGACACAAGGCCGTCTTTTACTCAGTGGCCCCAGGGATGGTTTAACATGGAAAATTGGCAACTGGGGCCGCCCTGCCCCACTGAAGCTCGGTATCCCTCTGACGCGTGGATTCTACTGAGCTTTCCAGCTTTAAAAAACATGGGGTGAAATCCTGAAGTCAGTGGGAGTTTTCCATTGATTTTGGTGGGGCCAGGGTATCACCTCTGGTCCCTTGTCAATGTTTCGTAGTGATATGCTATAGACATCAGTGGCGCCATGGGACTCTCCCAAAGCACGGCTAATGCCACGCATTCCTTTGCGTCACATGGAAACTTGCAAAGGTTTCCAGAAATGATTTGTGCCGCCGATCCCGGATCAGCAATGAAATACACAGCCCCCCTGACAAAACGGAGTCAGGAATGCTGCCTGTCTTCCTCCCCGTGGGGCCCCGGAGCCTGAGGAGCTGCTCTCGATCTCAGCTAGTGCAGTGTCAGTGGGTTTCCCTTAGTTTTGCTTCTTTCAAAGGGAATCCAGCTTGAGCTTGGCTGGACTGGACTGTGTGATGCAAACAATCCGCAGTCAGTGCTAGTTTGGCTGGACAGGGGGAGATTCTCCTCCAGGCCAGGTCCCCTCTCAGTGACCCTCTCCCACCCTCCTGCTTATTGTTTGAAACATTCAAGCTACAAATTGAGAGAGATTCATTTTCGGGACAATTCACAAGACTTTTCAGTCACACTGAGGTGGGCTCTGATGGGAGCCCCTTGATTTGGCTGCAAGTTAATGCAGTTGGAAGAACGGCACTCAACCAGTCGTGCCCCTCTGCTTTTGAGAGCACAGACTTGCAGATCTGGTGGGGAAGGGAGGGAGGGACAGCTCTGTGGCACCTCCCCCCAGGAGGACTCGGAGAAAGTACAGCACTTTTGAATGCAGCAGGCCTGCTGTCACCTTTCAGAGTAAAGCTGCACTGTTAGTCCACCAGCTGCAGCATAAAGAGACAGGGAGTGTAGGTGCTCATGACGGCAACAGCTCCTTGGGGGGGCTCCTGGCTCAGCAGGGCCCTCAGCTATTGCAGAGGGACGTACGGCGCTCAGTCCTCTGCTGGTGTGAATTAGTGCAGCAGCCTTGAGTTCACTGAAGCAGAACCAGTTTACACCCGCTGAGGATCTGGCCCAAAGTTTGACGACAATATAGTACGTCTGTGGGTGTTGGAAAACACAGGGAATCAGCGTCTGGCTCACTCCGAAAAACCTCACCCAGGTTAGACTGGATGGGAATATCATATGTTTTTTAGGCATTTCTGTGACCTTGGGGGTCATAGGGTCTGAGCACCTCACAACAATGCTAGCATCCCTATTTGAGGCACAATGAACAAGGCACGCAGCAACTTGCCCCAAGCAACATGGGCACTCTGAGGTCAAGCAGGGAACTGACCCTCGGTCTCCCAGCTGCTAAGCTCGGGCCCTAGCCACTGGACCAAACCGCCCACTTATTAAAGGTTGAAAACTGGAATCTAGACAAGCTATTTCTTTTGGGCCAAGCCTGGTTCCACTGAAGTCAAGGGACATGAGTGTAAGGCACCATGGAAGTCAAGTGATGGCCACACACGAACACTATTCTGAGGCAGGGTGCAGAGACATCAGTACTTAACGGGTTCCCTTTAGAGAGTGGTGTTGTGGCTTTGGCCCATCCAATGGATGCTCCAGTTCAACCACCGTTTATTGGCCTTGAGGGCAGTTAGTTCCCTCTAGTGCAGGAATCCCTAGGCGAAATTCTGTGGCCTGGCTTATGCAGGACGTCAGAGTGGATGATCATAACGATCTCTTCTGGCCTTAACGTCAAGGAGACGAGGAGATCTCCAGCATGAGGTTGTGCAGGAGAAGTGAAGGGAAGGAGAGTGTCAACTGGATCCTGGTCCAGTTGAAGTAAATGGGAGTTTTGCTATTGCTTGCATTTTCCCAAGATGCAACCCCTTATGTTCACATGCTTGTGTGGAGTGCTCAGGTGAACACTTTGATTGGCTTCCATGTTCCACAATTATTGTCTTGTCCTCACTTGTGAACACAGAGACTTGACATTTGAAAAACTCCCTGGAAAGGTTTGGGATTCAGATCATTGCGTCATTTCTTGGCTCCCCGTTAACTTTCCCCCCCGCCTTTCCATGCCAATGATATTGCCTAGACTTGGGTGGGTGACTATAAAGGAATAGCTGGAATTAAATACATTTGACAGAGTTCATAGAATATCAGAGTTGGAAGGGACCACAGGAGGTCATCTAGTCCAACCCTCTGCTCAAAGCAGGACCAATCCCCAAGGATATTTTTGCCCCAGATCCCTAAATGGCCCCCTCAAGGATTGAACTCACAACCCTGGGTTTAGCAGGCTAATGCTCAAACCATTGAGCTATCCCTCCAGGAGAAAAGCCACAAGAATGATTAAAGGATTAGAAAACCTGCCTTGTGGCGATAGACTCAGAGAGCTCAGTCTAGTTAGCTAACAAAGAGAAAATTAAGAGGTGACTTGATTACAGTCTAGAAGTTCCTACATGGGGAAGAAATGTTTAATAATGGGCTCTTTAGTCTAGCAGACAAAAGTCTAACATGATCCAATGGCTGGAAGTTGAAGCTAGACAAATTCAGACTGGAAATAAGGCGCACATTAATGGTGAGAGTAATTAACCATTGGAACAATTTACCATGGGTCGTAGTAGATTTTCCATCAGGGACAATTTTAAAATCAAGATTGGATGTTTTTTCTAAAAGTTCTGTTCTAGGAATTAGTTTGGGAAGTTCTCTGGCCTGTGTGGTACAGGAGATCAGACCACATGGTCACAATGGTCCCGTCTGGCCTTGGAATCTATGGATCTATGAGCTTTTATCAGACATGTCTGCCAAAGGACACTTATGTTTACCCTTTCACCAGCTAATGTCTAACAAAGAAAATCATTCTCGTCATATCCTAAAGTGAGGATTGACTTTGCTAAATAGGGCAACTTTTGCTTTCCACATTGCAATAGCGTAAAACAGGACATGCTAATGAGGAAACTTTATCTTTGATCGAGTTATCTGGCTGTCCACTAGGTGGCATGGTTGCAGTTTTTTTAGAACATTGACATAGGAGCCTAGACGTGTAGTAGTTAAAGAAGAACATCTATTATCAGAACAGGATCCACAGCTGGTGTAAACCAGAGTAGCTCCATGGATGTCAGAGGCACTACACCAATTATTACCAAGTAAGCCTCCAGCCCAATGAGTCCATCCTGCTGCAAGAGCAGGAACTATCATGTATTAATAGAATAAAACTTATATTTAGCTGTCCTATAGCGCTTGTCATCAGTAGATCTCAAAGCGCTTTGCAAAGGAGGTCAATGTCATTAGCCCAATTTTACAGATGGGGAAACTGAGGAACAGAGTAGGGAAGTGACTTGCCCAAGGTCACCCAGCAGCAGAGACAGGAAAGAACTCTGGTCTCCTGAGTCCTAGGCTAATGCTCTATCTGCTAGGCAACGCTGCCTTTCCTAAACTGAAGCTACTTTTGATTATAGTTTAAAGGCCAAGAAATCGTTCATACAGGGTTGCAAATGTAATTAATGAATCCCAAGTTGTCAGATGTAAAACACCATGAGCCCAGCCCCATAAACCCTTACTCCTGTGAGTAATCCTTTCTCACATGAGGATTCCTATTGTAGCCAATAACAGAGTAGATCCCATGGCATTTTTCATTATGAGAAAGAATGAAATAACCTCGAAGTCTGACTTTCACCACCATTGAAATCAATGGGGCCAGCTACCCAGCTCTGACTTCAATGGAGCGAGGCCATTTGACTCTGGTAGAGGGTAATTTGGTCATATGCATAGGTTTTAAAAACTATTTTGGCACAATACTGCATCTTAATGCTAGGATTGGTCGAATAGACCCCAGAGTCTTGAACACCCACCGGATTACCTTTGAATTTGAGCCTTGTCTGTTCTTGCTAACTTTAAAATCTTGTTGCAGATTTTGGCTCTCCTTTCTCTGTTGCATCAAACACAAGCTTGTCTTCGCTTTCAGGGCCCTTCATGGTCTCTGCGCACCCTAGCCCTCATCTCTCATTCTCTGTGGAGCTGTCGATGCTCATCTCTGCTCAGCCGTCATGCCAGCCTCGCTCCTTCGCTTGTCAAATTTTCAAACAACCGCCTTCGTGTTTTCTGCCACGCCGCCCCACACGCTTGGGAGCATCCACAAAGCCACTCCCTTAGCCTCCAGATCCCTTCTCAAAACTCTCCTTTGCCGTGACGCCTACAAAAACCCTGACCACAGTTAGGCTCTTGGTCTGTGTGTTGACCGGTATTTCTCATCATTGTTTCCCAGTACTCCTGTATCTATTAGCTGTCTCTTGTCTTACGCTTAGATTGTAATGTCCTTGGGGCAGGGAGTGTGTTTGGTCTGTGTATGTACAGCACCTAACCAATGGGATCCTGGTCCGTGATAAGGATTCGTAGGGATTACAGTAATACAAACAATAATAATAATTTTGGGATGTCTTAAATACAGTAAAAACAATGAGGAGTCCTTGTGGCACCTTAGAGACTAACAAATTTATTTGGGCATAAGTTTCTGTGAGCTAGAATCCACTTCATCAGATGCATGGAGTGGAAAATACAGTAGCAGGTATAAATATACAACACATAAAAAGATGGGAGTTGCCTTACCAAGTGGGGGGTCAGTGCTAACGAGGCCAATTCAATCATGGTGGATGTGGCCCATTTCCAAAAGTTGACAAGCAGGTGTGAGTATCAACAGAGGGAAAATTATTTTTTGTAGCGACCCAGCCACTCCCAGTCTTTATTCAGGCCTAATTTGATGGTGTCAAGTTTGCAAATTAATTCCAGTTCTGCAGTTTCTCGTTGAAGTCTGTTTCTGAAGCTTTTTGGTTGAAGAATGGCCACTTTTAAGTCTGTTATTGAGTGTCCAGGGAGACTGAAGTGCTCTCCTACTGGTTTTTGAATGTTACAATTCTTGATGTCTGATTTGTGTCCATTTATTCTTTTGCGTAGAGACTGTCTGGTTTGGCCAATGTACATGGCGGAGGGGCATTGCTGGCACATGATGGCATGTATCACATTGGTAGATGTGCAGGTGAATGAGCCCCTGATGGCGTGGCTGATGTGGTTAGGTCCTATGATGGTGTCCCTTGAATAGAGACAGTAGTGAACTCTGTGGCAGACTGACAACGTCCTGCCATGTCCTGCACAGACCTCATGGAATTAAGATAAACTTTAATGAATTAAGGCAAACCTTATTGAATTAGGGTTAATATCTTTGGACTCCAGTGTATTAACAACGCCACTGTGTATGTGTTATTGTGGAGCTGTATGTACCTTCCCTAGTATAAGTTGGAGACTAACGTAATTCCTCCGGTTGTCAGCCCTGTGAAGCCACCCCCTGGGGAGGTGTGCCTATACTAGTTCAAAGTGGATTCTCCGGGGATCAATAGACAAAGAGGATTTTTGGATAAATGGCCTGGTTTTAAACTGGCTCAGGGCCTTCTTCCTGATCCAGCAAAGGAACAGGACCCTGGTCCCTGGAGGGCCCCAATCCTTAGGGAAGGGAAAGACTGGGCCTGTAAGCCTGGGTGCTTGTTCTGAGCTGAAGCTGTGATGAACCTGAAACCACAAGGAATCGCCCTGGGGTGGGGGGCTGAAGGACTGCTCCTGCCGGAGCCCAGATTCGGGTTGGGGTGAGCCCCGATAAGGTTATTAGCAGGCGTGTAGACTCTTTTATTGATTTTTAACGTGGTTTCTCTGGAATGCTTTGTACCTTGCGAATACAGCAGGCTCGGATCGGCAGTGCTGTGCGGGACCGTGTCACTGTAGCAGTGACACCTCTTACCCATCTCTGAAAGGAAAGCCAGCAGGTGTGCTTGGGCAGCCGGTCTCTGCTGGGAAATATACAGGGAAGGCAAGGGACTGTGCAGCCTGGACATACCCTGGTCAGAAGGGAGAGAAACACCCGTCTCCACCCAGAAAGGCCGCGGCAGGGGAGCTGGAAGCCAAGAATGGCTGCCCTGGCTGGATCACTGAGAGGAGACATGGGGGCATGTACCCGGCGCTGTGACAAACACAATCTCAGTGTATTGTTTTTCTCCTCTAGCCATGAAGATTCTGATGCATTGTCTGCTCGACTCTTCTTCTGCCATTGTCAGCGGGTCCCGGATCTGACCCAGCCGTGTAGGAGGACTCCCATGGTGCAATCACTGGCCACGCTGAACATCCACACGTATCTCAAACTGATGGCAGCACCCATTGTGGTATGGGTTTAAATGATACTCGCCATCATCTGCACTGCATGAAAGCACCCGAGGCTAGCCTGCAGCTGGGGCAGGTAGCCCAGAGCAACTCCATGCGCAAGGCCTGGGGTGTAAATCTTGATCCCACTGAAGTCAATGGCAAAACTCCCATTGATTTCAGTGGGGCCTGGGTTGGATCCCTGGGCTTTAGTGTGTTGGTTGGGAGCCCTGCAGAGGGTATTGTACCCTCCAGAGGGGCAGGGGAGAGAGAGAACTCAGGAGCCTGCCTCAGAGCTCTGCAGAGGGTGTTTATGTCCCTGCAGACGTTCAAGGGCAGATGCTCTGGCTGTGTAAATTGACTTCCATGGGTTCACACCAGCAAAGACTGCCCCAAACCTCTGTGGCTGCAAGGTGCCTGGGCCAGTGCAACCGCAGCTTTAGATCCCCTCCCCTGAGCTAGACGTGGGGAAACGGATCAGAACGAGACCCCCCAGGAGGCATGGGACACCCTTCGTTGGGGGCGTTCTGTGCCCTGGCACGGTCATGCAGAAGATCAGTCATGCCTGGGTCTGTCATGCAGAAAATCAGTGGTCATATGCTAGCTGCAGCAGCGTGATGAAAACAGGGAGGGAAAAAGAATCCAGGTCATACTGTGCATTCCTGGTGGGATTTTCTAAGCCACCATAGGGATTAGGGTGCTGGGGGACAATGGTCACAGATAATAAGGTGCAGTGTTTTAATAGTGAGGGTAATTAACCATTGGAGCAGCCAACCTAGGGGTGTGGTGGATTCTCCATCACCGGCAATTTTAAAATCTGGATTGGATGTTTTTCCCAAAAGATCTGCTCCAGTTTAACCACACCGCTTGGACTTAAAGCAGCAATCAAGTGAAGGAAGACCCATAGCCTGGGTTATGCAGGAGGTCAGATTAGATGATCACAGTGGTCTCTTTTGGTCTTAAAATCTATGAACGTTTCCGCCTAAATTGTCAACATTTCAATGCACAAGATGCTCCTCCATTTAAATATCAACCCTAATGGGCGTATTCAGATGGAAATGTTCCAGATGTTGGTTTTGGGGTGAGTGGATCCTATTTATTTAGGATAAACTAAAATAGTATCTCATTATCTGCTTTGCATAACTTATCTAAAATCTAAGCTTGTTAATCACCTATGTGCGATCACTAACATACACCGTGAAGATATTTAACCATTTAATTGTATCACTTCTCTAGACTGAAGTTGCTGAAGATCCAGAAAAGGTTTCAACTGTCCACCTACAGCTCGGTCTGCCGTTGGTATTTATTCTCAGTCAGAAGGAGACCTATGAAGTTGATAAGAGAACTGCTGAATTTGTTGCGTGGCAGCTGCTGGGGAAAGCAGGAGTTGCCCTCTTGTCAAGGTATTTAAGCTCAGTAATATTATGGTTTCCTATGAGCAATCCTTCTTTTGAAGGTGACTTATATCTTTGTGTTGTATTCAGGCTGACTAACAAGTGCTACATGTTCTGTTCTGTTCTACCGGTATAGATTCAGAATAACCAGTGAAGTCAGTGGAATTACACTGGACTTATACAAGAGTAAATGAGAACAGAACAGGACCCTTGACAAGTTGTCAAGTTATTGGTCCCTGCATGTGGAGCTGTTTTGCTGACTCATCTTGGCAGTCAGACCAGGCTGGCCTCATTATCATCAGCCCAGGAGTGTAAAAGGGTTTATGCCTCTCTCCGAGTCAGAGGGGCTGTGTGGTAACACAGGAAGGAGAAATGGCCAATTTGGGAAGAAGCTCAGACAAAGGATTGTGTTTTGTTCTTAAATTATGAGTAAAGGAAAACCCAGGAAGGGACAGGAGTCGTGGATGCTAACCCAGAGTGTGTGCTGGACACTCTGCATGACAGAACTCCAAGTAGGATCTGTTTGCTATTTGTGATGCTATTATCCGTGAGCTGGGTTGTCAAAGGGCCGCTTGGAAGACCCTGTGCTTTTGCAGCTTGGTAACTCTGAACTCTCAGGCATCTCATGGCAATGTGCTTGCACTCTGTGAGGAGGGGGAACAAGGTGATGGCCGCGCACTTTGCAAAGCCCTGACTGCTGACCTCTCAGAAGTTGCACTGTGGCAGCTTGTGCAGAGCCTTTACTTCTGGGTTTGGCTTTGGTCATCCGTCAGATTCCTCTCTGATGCCTGCTGGAACTACCTCCGGGGCTCCTGGCAGCCTCTGCAGCCTCCGTAGCCGCTAGTCTAACTCTGCTCTCCCTGCAGCCAGTGGTAAAACTCCCTCCGACTTCAGTGGGAGCAGAGTCAGGCCAATGCCACTTTTGAAACCCATGCCCTTCAAAACGGCACCGCTAGAATTCACACGCTTCTCTGCTTTACTTTGAAAGAAATATCCAAGACACACTGGCCTAGATCCAGGGCTACGGCTGAGCAGCCTCGCAGCTGAGCAGGGGGTGGGCAAAGGTAGCCTGTTATCTCCCCTTGATTAGGGAGTCAGACGCTGACAGCACCCCTATGCTGCTAGAGAAGCACCAGTGCCCAGGAGTTAGGCAGTATCCAGGAGAGAATGTTACTTTATCCATGACACCATTTAACATCTGATTTATATTTTGAAAGGGACTCCGTACATCTGAACGTTCTTCTCCAGTCTAACATAGCCCTCAAGACAGCAGAAGAGGTTAGTTGTTGTATTTATTCATGACACGATTGGTTCACGTTTAATCTGATTGCTTTCACATAGTGCACTTCCCGGTAGAAGTTCAAGGTGTTCTTTTTTTCACGATTGTTTTCCTCGCTATTCTTTAACCAATCCCCTTGGACGCGTAAAACTGACATTTCTTCCCTTATCAATGCATAACGGCACGGGCTCGTTAGTGTAGGGCTGCTGACACTGAGCTACTGGCCAGGTCTACACTATAAACGTACATCGGTATAAGTACGTCGCTGAGGGGTGTGAAAAATCCACCACCCAGCGCGACACAGTTCTACCGACCTAACGCCCCCGTGCAGACAGCGTTGTGTCGATGGGAGAGCTCCTCCCGCCCACATTGTGTTACCTGCACACATTAGGGCACCAGGATAAGGCCTTTGTCTGCAGCCATATTGTAAAGCCTACGGCCTTTGTCTGCAGCCAGATTAAAAGAGCAGCCAAGCAGCAGCCATTCGCTGAGAAGCAGGAAGTCACATCCTGTCCTAATGGCACCCACTATCACCAGATAAAGACAGATCTTAAGATGGTTAAAGAAAACTTAGTTGGATAGCATCCTGTCTGGCAAGGATCCACTTCTCAACCGTTGTGGTTGTGAAATCCTCATTTCTGTATTGTTTTGTCACTACCGCCTCTCGTGGAGGTGGATTCATTCTACAGGGGGAGGGATAGCTCAGTGGTTTGAACATTGACCTGCTAAACCCCTGGTTGTGAGTTCAATTCTTGAGGGGGCCGTTCAGGGGCAAAAATCTGTCAGGGGGGCAGGAGCTGGGCCCAGATTTGTTCAAAAATTCATCACCAAAGAAGGATCATCCAGTGGTGAGGGCACTAACTTGGAGCCCTGGGTGCTAGTCCCTGCCCTGCTACAGATTTTCTTTGTGACCATGGGCAAGTCACGTAGCCGCTCGGTGCCTGAGTTCCTCACCTGTAAAATGGGGTAGTAGCACTGCCTCACAGGGGTGTTTTGTAGAAAAAATAGGTTACAACATTGTGAGGTGCCCAGGTGGTCCTTAGGTGGGGATTGTATGATTACCTGAGGTATGTAAAACAGAAAGCTGTCAAGATTGTAGTCACAGTCCCAATTCCTCTCTGATAGATTTCAGTCTTATTTTGATTGCAAGTTGCGATTGCAGGGGCTCTCTGTATTGTATGTCTTGTACAGCACCAAGCACATAAATACAAATTAATAAGGGTATTTTGTGGTGCTGCACAAAATAACCCCTTAGCGGAAGGGTAGATGTTCATGTTACACAAGGCAGGCCTTTGCTTTATGGTTTGTAACAGAGGAAGAAGGTAGAATCCGGGCACGAATCTAAGGTAGGGGAAGGAAAGGTTCTTGGACTCCTATCTGAATGGGAGACCTTTCTATGCTAGAATCCTTCTCCGTGTCAGGGTTGTGGTTACTCCGCTGCAAACGTTCGTTAGAATTCTTATTTTCTGGGAAGACCAATAATGCATCAGTGTTCCATTCACGTTCTTGATCATCTCAGGGGAACTGCTCGTGGCCCCAGCAGTTTGTCTGAAATGGACGGGCGATGGCATCCACCCGCAGAGCAGAGTTTCGAGTCAACGCGTTGCATAATTTGCAGACATCTGCAAAAGCAGGTGTTAGCCGGTCGGCAGCTTTGGGCGGCTCATGTGACACTAATGTAGCCTCCTGATCGAGGCCGGCCGCCAAGCGCACACCGGTCTGTCACTGGAGGGAAAACTGACGCAGGCAAGGCAACAATCAGGCGTGTTTTGAGTAAGATCCGCATGAAAAAGAGGCTTGCTCCAGTTCTCCTTTTTCACCAGTGCCAGTGGCTGGAGCACATTAATGGCAAAACACAGGGCTGGGAACCCTCTAGATTAGTATTAATATGGGGGTTTAAAGCTACAGTCCAGAGACAGTAGGAACTGCCTGCTCCCAATACTGAACCCTGCAGGGTAACTCCCATCGGGGAAGGGGTGTTGGCAGGGTAGTTCTTGTGGCAGCATTGTCTCCCCAGTTTGTTGCTGTTGCTCCCAGTTCTTGCCTGCTGCTCTGCGCTGACTGTAAGTTTACCCGGGGAGTAGGAGAGGAGAAGAGGAGAGTCACCCAGCGGACACCACAGCGACCCTCCGGGCAGGAGGAGGAACTGCAGAGGCATCTCGACTTGGATGCCTGACGTTCCAGCTGCCGAATGTGAGAGTGTGGAGCCATGTGCAGCAGCCCTAGAAGTCTATTGACATGTCCAAAAACAAACAAAAAGTGGCCACATGGTGCCATTGAGCGCCCCCTTGCCTCCATTTTATATTGCAGCGACGCCAGCCATTCCAGAGCACAGGTGCAAAGAAATGCCCTTGTGTCCCAGCTGGTATTTTTCTCTTCCCCAGGGTGCGCCGATCAAATACCTGGTTTTGGAAGACACTGATGAAATAATAGCCCTTGTGGAAGGCGAGATAAAGGGCGAACAGATCCAGGAAGATGAGGATGAAAGTGACAATAATGACCAGGGTAACGTTGGTGTTTGGAATTCTCCTTTTCACACTTAGTCCCGTGCTAGTTAATTACTAAGGAGAGTTACTCATACAACTAGTGCCTCCTTGCTAGAGACATTCTGAAACATATAGAAGTAGTGTAGTCGCATTGGCCTACGTGATCCAAACCGGCTTGGGGCCTTAATTTTTAAGTGTCCAACTCGAGACACCTCGAGACAGGGCGGGTGCTCGTCACTGTCAGAAAGCCAGGCCCCTTTGAGGTATTTCAGGTCAGGCCCCCAAAATCTGGAGCCACTTTTGAAATTATAGGCTGCCCTCTTTTGAGTGCCCATGTGTGCTGTGCTCAAATCCCATTTGTCTTACATGCCCGTGTAAGTCTTCCTTTAAAATACATTCCTAGAAAGTTGCTCATGTTTTCCAGTAATTTCACATAAGAGCTAAAGGAAACGGCCAAAATGAAGAAAGAAACAGCCGGTGTGAGTCTGAGGAAAACAAAAATGTGAATGGGATTCCTAGATAAAAGTATTCTTTATTCCAAGGGTTACATCCTCAGCTAGCATAACTCTGCATCTTTCCATTCATTTCGGTGAAGCTCAGAGTTCCTAGCAGAATAGTGTTAAATAGTACACCTCTACCCCGATAGAACGCTGTCCTCGGGAGCCAAAAAATCTTACTGCGTTATAGGTGAAACCGCATTATATCGAACTTGCTTTGATCCGCCGGAGTGCGCAGCCCCGCCCCCCCGGAGCGCTGCTTTACCGCGTTATATCTGAATTCCTATTATATCGGGGTAGAGGTGTATATCAGTAGCAAGTCTTGACTGCTGCTTATTACACTGATCAGAACAGTCTCCCTCTTGTTCCCCATCTGCCTGTCCTATCCACCTCTTGTTTCTCATCTTGTAGTTAGACTGTTAACTCTTTGGGGCGTGGACTGTCTTTGTTGTATGTATGTACAGCATCTAGCACAATGGGGCCCTGATCTTGACTGACGCCGTTAGGTGCTACTGGAATATACATATGCATCATAATAAATTGCTTGGTTTCTTCCTGCTTTTGCGTTTGGTCTTTTCAAACCCTGGCAAACGTGGAGTTCCTGCTGCATCTGTGTGCTCATGTTTATGTGTACGTTGATTTGCTCTAGACATTCAAGATGACCAGGTGATGGAAGCGGTTTACAGAGACAGGAAGCGAGAACTCCCTTTGGAACTCATCCGTACCCTGACAGAAGAAACTTTTAATGCTGCTCTGATGGAGACCGCCCACATGGTGGTGCTATTCTATGCCAGTTGTGAGTACAATACACATATCCCTATCACCATGGGTGCACATTTCTTGTAGAGTTTAGTATATTGTTAGAGTGCCTGTATTTATTTAAAGCAACAGAGGGTCCTGTGGCACCTTTAAGACTAACAGAAGTATTGGGAGCATAAGCTTTCGTGGGTAAGAACCTCACTTCTTCAGATGCAAGTAATGGAAATCTCCAGAGGCAGGTATAAATCAGTGTGGAGATAACGAGGTTAGTTCAATCAGGGAGGGTGAGGTGCTCTGCTAGCAGTAGAGGTGTGAACACCAAGGGAGGAGAAACTGCTTCTGTAGTTGGATAGCCATTCACAGTCTTTGTTTAATCCTGATCTGATGGTGTCAAATTTGCAAATGAATTGGAGCTCAGCAGTTTCTCTTTGGAGTCTGGTCCTGAAGTTTTTTTGCTGTAAGATGGCTACCTTAACATCTGCTATTGTGTGGCCAGGGAGGTTAAAGTGTTCTCCTACAGGTTTTTGTATATTGCCATTCCTGATATCTGACTTGTGTCCATTTATCCTCTTGCGTAGTGACTGTCCAGTTTGGCCAATGTACATAGCAGAGGGGCATTGCTGGCACATGATGGCATATATAACATTGGTGGACGTGCAGGTGAATGAGCCGGTGATGTTGTAGCTGATCTGGTTAGGTCCTGTGATAGTGCTGCTGGTGTAGATATGTGGGCAGAGTTGGCATCGAGGTTTGTTGCATGGGTTGGTTCCTGAGTTAGAGTTGTTATGGTGCGGTGCGTGGTTGCTGGTGAGAATATGCTTAAGGTTGGCGGGTTGTCTGTGGGCGAGGACTGGCCTTCCTCCCAAGGTCTGTGAAAGTGAGGGATCATTGTCCAGGATGGGTTGTAGATCACTGATGATGCGTTGGAGAGGTTTAAGCTGAGGGCTGTAGGTGATGGCCAGTGGAGTTCTGTTGGTTTCTTTTTTGGGCCTGTCTTGTAGCAGGAGGCTTCTGGGTACACATCTGGCTCTGTTGATTTGTTCCTTTATTTCCTTGTGTGGGTATCGTAGTTTAGAGAATGCTTGGTGAAGATCTTGTAGGTGTTGGTCTCTGTCTGAGGGGTTGGAGCAGATGCGGTTGTACCTCAGTGCTTGGCTGTAGACGATGGATCGTGTGGTGTGTCCAGGGTGGAAGCTGGAGGCATGAAGGTAGGCATAGCGGTCGGTGGGTTTTCGGTATAGGGTGGTGTTAACATGGCCATTGCTTATTTGTACTGTGGTGTCCAGGAAGTGGACCTCCCGTGTGGATTGGTCCAGGCTGAGGTTGATGGTGGGGTGGAAGCTGTTGAAATCATGGTGGAATTCTTCCAGGGTCTCCTTCCCATGGGTCCAGATGATGAAGATGTCATCAATGTAGCGTAGGTAGAGAAGGGGTGTGAGTGGACGAGAGCTGAGGAAGCGTTGTTCCAGGTCAGCCATAAAGATGTTGGCATATTGTGGGGCCATGCGGGTGCCCATAGCGGTGCCACTGGTCTGGAGGTATATATTGTCACCAAATTTGAAATAATTGTGCGTGAGGATAAAGTCACAGAGCTCAGCAATAAGTTGTGCTGTGTCATCATCAGGGATACTGTTCCTGACAGCTTGTATTCCATCTGTGTGTGGGATGTTTGTGTAGAGAGCCTCTACATCCATGGTGGCTAGGATGGTGTTTTCTGGGAGGTCACCAATGCATTGTAGTTTTCTCAGGAAATCTGTGGTGTCACGGAGATAGCTGGGAGTGCTGGTGGCGTAGGGTCTGAGTAGGGAGTCCACATATCCAGACAGTCCTTCAGTGAGAGTGCCAATGCCCGAGATGATGGGGCGTCCAGGATTTCCAGGTTTGTGGATCTTGGGTAGTAGATAGAATAACCCCGGTCGGGGCTCTAAGGGTATGTTGATTTGTTCCTGTGTTAGTGTAGGGAGTGTCCTGAGTAGATGGTGCAGTTTCTTAGTGTATTCCTCAGTGGGATCTGAGGAAAGTGGCCTGTAGAATTTGGTATTGGAGAGTTGTCTGGTAGCCTCCTTCTGGTAGTCAGACCTGTTCATGATGACAACAGCACCTCCTTTATCAGCCTCTTTGATGATAATGTCAGGGTGGTTTCTGAGGCTGTGGATGGCATTGCGTTCTGCACGACTTAGGTTATGAGGCAAGCGATGTTGTTTTTCCACAATTTCTGCCTGTGCACGTCGGCGGAAGCATTCTATGTATAGGTCCAGACTGTCATTTCGACCCTCAGGAGGAGTCCATGTGGCGTTCTTCTTCCTGTGTTGTTGGTGGGAGGGTATCTGTGTATCAGTGCGCTGTTCAGTGTTATCTTGAAAGTATTCTTTGAGTCGGAGGCGGCGAAAGTAGGCTTCCAGATCACCGCAGAACTGTATCATGTTCGTGGGGGTGCTGGGGCAAAAAGAGTGCCCCAGCACCCCCACGAACATGCCATCATGTGCCAGCAATGCCCCTCTGCTATGTACATTGGCCAAACTGGACAGTCACTACGCAAGAGGATAAATGGACACAAGTCAGATATCAGGAATGGCAATATACAAAAACCTGTAGGAGAACACTTTAACCTCCCTGGCCACACAATAGCAGATGTTAAGGTAGCCATCTTACAGCAAAAAAACTTCAGGACCAGACTCCAAAGAGAAACTGCTGAGCTCCAATTCATTTGCAAATTTGACACCATCAGATCAGGATTAAACAAAGACTGTGAATGGCTATCCAACTACAGAAGCAGTTTCTCCTCCCTTGGTGTTCACACCTCTACTGCTAGCAGAGCACCTCACCCTCCCTGATTGAACTAACCTCGTTATCTCCACACTGATTTATACCTGCCTCTGGAGATTTCCATTACTTGCATCTGAAGAAGTGAGGTTCTTACCCACGAAAGCTTATGCTCCCAATACTTCTGTTAGTCTTAAAGGTGCCACAGGACCCTCTGTTGCTTTTTACAGACTCAGACTAACACGGCTACCCCTCTGATACTTGTATTTATTTAGTTATTTCTATTTAAATAATAGCTGAAAAGATGCCTGTGTGAGGCTCCAGGTGTCCTCACGCACCCTGAACAATACAATTACATCCATTTCTGTAATAGATTAATACTGAACAGAGATAAGCTTTTTATTTTTGAAGGTCTCCATATAAAATACCTAGGTATTTCTTTTGTAGTGACATATACATTCAGTGTAATTCTACCTTCCGCATAGCAATCCTAGTGCCAGAACAATTCACTACGTTAAATTGGAGAGCTACTGTCGCGGTCTGTCATGATGGCAAAGCTTGAGATACCGAAGAAGCATGATCTATAGCAGGGGTAGGCAACCTATGGCACGTGTGCCAAAGGCGGCATGCGAGCTGATTTTCAGTGGCACTCACACTGCCCCGGTCCTGGCCATCAGTCCGGGGGCTCTGCATTTTAATTTAATTTTAAATGAAGCTTCTTAAACATTTTAAAAACCTTATTTACTTGACATACAACAATAGTTTAGTTCTATATTATAGGCTTATAGAAAGAGACCTTCTAAAAATGTTAAAATGTATGACTGGCACGCGAAACCTTAAATTAGAGTGAATAAATGAAGACTCGGCACCCCAATTCTGAAAGGTTGCCGACTCCTGATCTATAGAGAGTAACCCATCCTGTTGACCAGGAGTGACCCCGGCTCTGCCGACAGACAGGCCATGTGTGATGTACCGCTATTGACAGTGTCTCTTGTATGTTGCAGGGGAAGCGGTGTCTCTGGCGATGTTGCAGTCGTATGTAGAGGTGGCCATTGCGTTAAAAGGTACAGTGCCAAAGCTCCGTTGCATTGTTAAAAAGCAAGCGATGTTCATATCCTGTACCATGTCCTCGTTTTACAAAGGAGGAAGTTTAACTGATGTGTCTATACATAGGCGCCGATTCTGTGGGTGCTCCGGGGCTGGAGCATCCACAGGGAAAAAAATGGTGGGTGCTGAGCACCCACCAGCAGCCCCACTGGAGCTCCTCCCCCTCCCCGCAGCACCTCCCACCTGCCGGCGGGCCCCACCAATCAGCACCTGCCCCTTCCTCCCAGCGCCTCCCGCCCACCGCAATCAGCAGTTCTGCGGCGTGCAGGATGCGCTGGGAGGGAGGGGGAGGAGCGAGATTGGGGCGTGCTCAGGGGAAGGGGTGGAATGGGGCGGGAAGAGGTGGGGCGGTGGTGGGAAGGGGCGGGGGTGGGGCCTTGGGGAAGGGATGGAGTGGGGGCAGGGCCTGGGCCAGAGCACCCCCTGGCACATTAGAAAGTCGGCGCCTCTGTGTATATGTACAGTGGGTGAAATCCTGGCCAAACTCACCTTGAGTGCTATGGGGAGAGGATTTCATCCAGTATATATACACGCACATACAGACACCCGAGGGCTGCTCTAACTTCTGCAGGCTTGTAATAGCCCCTTAGAATACATCTACACTGCAATAAAAGACCTGGCCTGGGTCAGCTGACTCAGGCTTGCAGGTCTCGGGCTGTGGGGCTCTCACCTCGGGGGCAGCTCCCCCGTCCCCAGCGTCCCTGCGTGCAGGGGAGAGTCTCGGTAGAGGCAGGGCAACTCTGTACGCTGCCTCCCTCCCCCCTCCCAGCGCTGACCTGGTTCCCAGCCCATTGGCCAGGAACCCCGGCCAATGGGAGCTGTGGGGGGGCGGTGCCAGAGCTGCCTGACCGCGCCTCCCCTGCAGGGAGGGGGGGGAGCTGCAGGCAGAGAGAGCCTCAGGAGATTCTTCAGGGGCAGCCTGGGGGGTTAGCTGGGGGTCTGGCGCTGGCAGCAGCAAGTGACCTGGCCCTAGCCCGCTCTGCTCCACCCCAGCGGCTCCCAGCGTTGCTCAGTGGTGGGGGTTTGCGGGAAGGGGTGGGGCATGCTGGGGCCGGGTTGCTCGCTGGTGCCAGGCTCCCCGCTAAGCCCCCAGGCTGCCCTGGACCCTGTGTCCCCCTGAAGCACAAGGCCCCCCCAAAGCACAGGGTCCAGGGCGGTTGCCCCGATCCGTCCTATGGTTGGGACAGCTCTGCTTGGGCACCACCAAAAATCATACAAACCTGCCGCCCCTGATTGGATAGGGGGTGGGATTATGGGGTGGTGGTTAGGGGCGGGAGTCTCTGGAGGGGGCGGTCAGGGAGCAGGGGGGGTTGGATGGGGCATGGGAGTCCCGGGGTCTGTCAGGAGGGGGGGATGGATAGGGGTCAGGGCAGTCAGGGGACAGGGAGCAAGGAGGGTCGTGGGGGGGTCTTTGGAGGCGGTGGTCAGGGGACAAGGAGCTGGGGGAGGAGGTTGGATGAGTCGGGAGTTCTGGGGGTCCTGTCGGGGTGGGGAGCAGTTGGATAGGCGTGGGAGTTCTGGGGGTCTGTCTGGGGGCGGGGGTGTGGATAAGGGTCGGGGCAGTCGGGATAGGTAGAGTCCTAGGGGGGCAGTCAGGGGACAAGGAGCAGGGGGGGTTGGGGGTTCTGAGGGGGGAAGTCAGGGGGCGGGAAGTAGGAGGGAGTGGATGGGGGCAGGGTGGGGGCAGGGCTAGGGCATGGCAGGGGCGGGGCTCCCTGTCTGCACACCCTAATGAAATGGGCTGCGCACGCCTATGAAGGAGCAGTTACAGCAAACATGAGGACAGTGGCAGAAGGTGAAATAACTCTTGGGCACAAAGAGGCAAGAACCTGCCATAGCAGGATGCCCGTGTGAGACTCCCGGGGGTACCCAGGGTTGGGAGGTACCTCACCACAGCCTGCCCTTAGTGCGAAGCAATCTTGTCTGCACCTGCTGTGGGTCAGCTCCCTGAAAACCCCAGCCTCTGGCACAAGCACTGCCTTCCAGGCCTCTGCAGGCTTTGCTCTCTCTGGACAGGTAGCAATAGGTACATCCCCTGCAGTGTCCAGCCCCTTCTCCACGAGACACTCACCGAGTCACCAGGCCTGCTCTTCCCAAAGGAACAGTACTTTGCTTAAGCACTGAGATATATTTCCAGGGAAAACAAGAACGGGTTTCTTGTCAAAGATTAGAGATTCAAATAATAGTGAGTCCGAATATTGGAAACCAGCGGTTACATATAAAAGAAAATCATAACACGCTTTCTAGAGACTAAACTTAATGAAAAGTCACTCTCTTGTCTAAAGAAGTTTATCGCACCCAAAGTTCTCTACAGTGGTTTCAGCCAAGCCTGAACTTTTGAGGTACACCTCCAGATAGGGTTCACTCCCCCAACTCTTCCTGTTAGATTTTGTTTTCCCTCTGATGTCCTCACAGTCCTTCATTTGCCTTCAGCTCAGACTCATGATAGGTGAATCATTGTGAAGGAGACAGTGTTCAATTGACATGTAAACAATAGATGCTACCGACTTTACGGTCTTATTTTCAGTGTCTATACACATAACTCCGTACGCAGTATCTGTACATACATTTCACGATACTAATGACCAGTGTGACACTGGCTCTCATTTGAGACCTCATGCGACATTCTTTGGTGAACCCAAATGTACATACCAGAATCTGGAGATTCTTGTAAGCCCCTTGACAACTGGCAGTAGGAGATTCTTGGGTCACAGCCCCCAAACCAAGGAATGTAAAACAATGGTGCCCTTGGGGGATGGACACTGTCCTAATTACCTGTAAAGCCTCATAGACCCTTAGCAATGTAGAGCTGGAAGGGACCTCGAGAAGTCAAGTCCAGCCCCCTGCACTGTGGCAAGGCCAAGTAAACCGAGACCATCCCTGACAGTTGTTTGTCCAACTTGTTTTTAAAATCTGCCAATGATGGGGATTCCATGACCTCCCTTGGAAGCCTATTCCAGAGCTTAACGACCCTGACAGTTAGAAATTTTTTCCTAATATCTAACCTAGATCTCCCTTGCTGCAGTTTAAGCCCATGACTTCTTGTCCTACCTTCAGTGGACAAGGAGAACAGTTGATCACCTTCTCTTTATAACAGCCCTTAACATATTGGAAGACTGTTATCAGGTTCCCCCTCAGTCTTCTTTTCTTAAAAAAACAGGGCCTGTTTAGTCTTAGCCTTTCCTGATAGATCAGGTTTTCTAAACCATTGATCATTTTTGTTGCTGTCCTCTGGACTCTTTCCAATTAGTCCACATCTTTCCTGAAATGTGGTAACCAGATTTGGACACAGTCCTCCAGCTGAGCCCTCACCAATTCTGAATAGAGTGGGACAATTACCTTCTGTGTCTTACAAACAATAGTCCTTTTATTAAACCCCAGAATCATATTAGCCTTTTTTGTAGCTGCATCATGCATATTCAGTCTGTGGTCCACTGTAACTCCCAGATCCTTTCCAGCAGTACTACTGCCTAGCCAATTATTCCCCATTTTGTAGTTGTGCATTTGATTTTTCCTTCCTAAGTGAAGTACTTTGCACTTGTCTTTATTGAATTTCATCTTGTTGAATTTAGACCAATTCTCCAATTTGTCAAGGTCATTTTGAATTTTAAACTTCTCCTCCAAAGTGCTTGTGTAACCCACACACCTCCTGGGTGTGGTGTTCTGTCCCATCTAGTGGCACCGAGACCAGTTAGAGAGAGATTAATGAGTCTGCTCTACAGCCTTAACTAAGAGCCTATTGCTTTTTAGCTCATGCGGTAGAGGCTCATGCACTAAACTCCAGAGGCCTCAGGTTCAATCCTGCCCACCGATGACCGGGGTTTGTCGGCATTACACTTGCAACCCCTCCCAGCTTGGTGTCATCTGCAGATTTCATAAGCATACTCTCTACTCCATTATGCAAATCATTAACGAAAATATTGAATAATACCAGACTCAGGACAGACCTCTGGGAGGGCTTATCTAGTGGGGTTCTGCAATTTGACAGCAAGCCCTTGATAACTACTCTTTGAGTATGGTCTTTCCACCAGCTGTGCACCCACCTTATAGAAATTTCATTTAGACCACATTTCCCTAGTTGGTTTATGAGACTGTCATGCAGAACTGTGTCAAAAGCCTTCCTAAAATTAAGGTATATCACATCTACTGCTTCCTCCCTTTCCACTAGGTCAGTAATCCTATCAAAGAAGGGAATAAGGCTAGTTTGGCATGATTTGTTCTTGATAAACTCATGCCGTCTATTCCTTGTAACCCTATTCTCCTCCAGGTGCTTACAAATTGATTGTTTAATAATTCACTCCACTCTCTTTCCAGGTATTGAAATTAGGCTCACTGGTCTATAATTTCCCAGGTCCTCCTTGTTCCCCTTTTTAAAGCTAGGGACTATGTTTGCCCTTTTCCAGTCTTCTGGGCTTTCTTCCCTCTTCAGGAGTTCTCAGAGATAATTGCTAATGGCTCTGAGATTGCTTCAGCTAATTCTCCAAGTACCCTAGGATGAATTTCATCAAGCCCTGCTGACTTGAATACATCTAACTTATCTAAGTATTCTTTAACCTGTTCTTCCCTGTTTTGGCTTGCATGCCTTCCCCAGTTGTTAATATTAATTGTGTTGAGTATCTGGTCATTAATCTTTTTAGTGAAGACTGAAGCAAAATAGACATTAAGCACCTCAGCTTTAAATTAAATTAATGGAGATATCCTATCTCCTAGAACTAGAAGGGACCTTGAAAGGTCTTCAAGTCCAGCCCCCTGCCTTCACTAGCAGGACCAAGTACTAATTTTGCCCCAGATCCCTAAGTGGCCCCCTCAAGGATTGAACTCACAACCCTGGGTTTAGTAGGCCAATGCTCAAACCACTGAGCTATCCCTCCCCCCTTGATGGCCTCAGTTATTATCTCTCCTTCCCTGCTAGTAGAGGACCTACACTTTCCTTCGTCTTTCTCTTGCTCCTAATGTG